GATACAATACAGTATATATATTTTTTAACAGTTTTATATAAATTAAAACACTGAACTCTGCAGGCAAGTTCTCTTAATTGTTGAACAATTAAGTGTCCTACTTAAAGCATAAAGTTAAAGACAGTATAAAATTAAACCAGTTTGTTGGATATCCAGTTACATTTTTAAATAAAAATAAATACTTTAGTTTACTTTTACTTTGTTTTTTGTGTTTTATTCTTACTTGTATCAAATATTCCTTTTCAGCAGCTTGTCTTAAAGATATTCCAAAACCTTCTGGTGGTTTTGACAGAAAGATCACGCTGGGAGACTGGAAGTTGACTTAAAAAGTGGCTAACAAACTACTAGCATGATGTAGTCCACATGTTTTATGTCTTAAATTTGTAGTATTCTTCATATATTTGAAAATGACAGGAAATCTGCTGAAACTAGCCATTGTTATTGTTGGCAATAATTAAAATAAAATTCAGTTTTATGTTTGGTCAAAGCCTGAAAGAGCTGCTGCAGAGGTACCAAAGAGCCACATGTGGCCCCAGAGCCGCAGGTTACAGACCCCTGTTCTAAGGAGTGTTTTACTTTCCTTGAGAGGCCTTTAGCTACAGATTGAACACCTCGAGGATCACAGCTCTTGATGACTTTCATTCTTTTATAAATACTTTATAACCACTTTGTCTTTGGCTGACTTCGTAAAGCAGCTCCTCCGAGCTGGAACTGTTGGTTTCACCTACTTAAATTGCTCTGTTACTGGCACACCACATGAGTTCACCCTTTACAGCTACGTTTCATGCAAATGTAATCAGCTCCAAGTGCCTTAAACCAAAACCACACACACAAAATCAGTTAATGAGAAACAAACTATCATGAAGTTCTATGTTAAACAAATTTAAAACAACAAGAAACAGAGGTGCAAAAGAACAGGAAAAAAGTGCAGGCCACTTATTTAAAGCTTATATTAAAACAACCAGTAGATCCATTAAAAAAAATAAATAGTCATGTTGCTTTTTTTTTGTTTGTTTTTAGAAGTCAAAATTTCAATTTTAAGTTGGAAAAATAAACTGGAATGCCTCCCTGACCCTGACCTCCAGCACCAACATGGCTGCCCTGTGGATGCTGTGTTGAAACGTTGTTTTCTCTCCAGTTGGTTTCTGTCTCATCATTGCTGCACACAGAGTACTGTAAAACCTCCAGCATGAAGATACAGAGAGACACATCATTATTAACTTGTTTTGTAGTAATAGTTAGCCTGGTCAAATAAAACCTTCAGGTTTTCCAACATAAAACTAAAACCCAGTTAAGTTAAATTATTTCATTTCAGGATCTGTCTTAACTTATGAGATAAATGCAGAACAGCATTTTCAAGCTTCCCTAAACCCTTAATCTTGGCTGTGTGATGAGTATCACCTGCTGCAGCGTTTTCTCCTCCAAGATGGGCACCAATCAGCACACCTGAGGATCGTCATCTTGATGAGGCTCCTGACTACTTAAGGCTGCAGCTAGATGTTACTCATTGCCGGAGCATTTGCCACTGATGGTACACTTCGTTTCTGGCCTATGTTTATTTCTCGTGCTTTAAACTAAAACCTTTCCTCTGGTTACAGCTTACCTGCCTCTGTGGATCTCCTCGTGCCTTGGTCTTCCTTTGGTTCCATGTCTTAGTCTCTGTCGTGTCTTGGTTCCTCTCTGCTCCACTCTCTGTCCCTCGTGCCTTGCTTTCCAGCCACACGCCTCCTTGTCTTCTCGTCTGGAATCCACCTTGGTCCCCCTTTGACCTTCAGCTGGACTGTAAGATAGATTCACTGAATTAACATCATCTCCTCATTTACCCAGCCAGAAACCTCTGACCTTCTCAGGGTCCCAGCTGGTCATCCCTTTTCACTGTAAATAATAAACACTGGCAATTTGTACCCCTGAGTCTTGTCTCGTACCACTCTGGGTTCGCCGAGTCGTAACAGGCTGAAGCTTGCAGTTTGATCATGCAGACTCTTTTTTTCTTTTGGATAACTAATAAGTTTGTTTTTATTTAACTTTTAAAATGATTAAACATACGTTTGTTTATTGTTCTCGGTAAAGAGTGAATCATCTGGTTGAAAAGTATACAGTTTGGTATCGTCAGCATAACTGAAAATATTTATTGTGTTTTATGATGAAACTATTAAGGAATAGCATGTACTCTATTAATAACGAACTGAGTTAAATATCTTAGACAGTCAAAGAATCTAAAACTACATTATTTTAAAACGACTTCCTTCTCTCATAAGAGTCAAATCAAGGTTCTTGTCATTCCACCACATGAGGTACATGGGATGGAACAAAACTGTATACACAGGTTCCCAGTTACATCCAATAAAAGTATAAATTGTAAAGGAAAAACAGTAAAGATGTAAGATATGAACTAAAAAATGCACTAAACTAAAAACACACCAAGCACTATAGTGCAAAAACAATACACCGAACAGCAGCACAAACATGAGTCTGTGTGAGCAGATGAATACGAATGAACACAGCAACATGAAATAAATCAGCAGCATGAAATTAATCAGCAGCACACGTCAACAATCAAAGTGGCATTACAGTGATTTTTTTTCAGAGTGATTTTTTTTCACAATAGCCTTTCAAAAGGCCTTTGAAATTAAAGATCGGCGCATAACTCAATCAGTCCTGTGAGTGAAGAATCTTTCATCTCCAATAAAAATGACTGAATTTCTTTGATTTTTCTTTATTTTATTTGTAATTGTATTTGTAATAAGTGGGACGGCACAGCCAAGCAGTGGTTTGAGTTGTAGCCTCTGCCTCCTGGCCTGGGGTCTCTCTGGGTGGAGTTTATGTGTTCTCACCGTACACGTGTGTTTTGTTCCAGGAACTCCAGTTTCCTCCCACAGACCAAAAACATGCATGTTAGGCTGATTGGTAACTCTAAATTGTCTCTAGGTGTGAGTTGAGTGAGAGAGTGAATGGTTGGTTGTCTCATTTGTCTCTATGTGTCCCTGTGATGAGCTGGAGACCTGTCCAGGGTGCCCAGCCCCCACCCCAACCACCACCTCACAGAGTCACTGCTGGACATGGACACCTGCTTCCCAGTGATCTGGAATGGAGAAGCAGGTAAAGAAAAGTGAAGTAGTTCACTGTATATGTGAGCATAAGGAATATACAGTACCAACCTGTTCTTCAGTCCTTGGGCTGTTTGCAGAGAGTCGTCGTGTTTGAGGCCTGCCTTTTTAAATATGGCTCAATCAGCTGATTTTACACTCAAACACCACAACCTGTCCAGGGGACCAGACTTCACTTCTATAGGTTTTTCCACTTGGATTATTGGGCATGCACCAGGATACAGTTCAAGTTCTTTTGTATTTTATAGGGAGGTAAGCCCACTGCTCAAAGTGCAGCGTGAAACAAAATGTTTTATAAGAATAAAAGCAAAATAAGTACTTTTCAAGTAAGCATAAAGTTTATAGTTTATTAAAAAAAAACAGTTCCTGTAAGTTTCTGCTGGAGTAACGAGTCAGGCAAGTTTTCCCGCAGCCAGGAAACTCCTGTGTTGTCTTTCATTTCAGTCCAAGATTGGCAGCAGCTGTTTCTCTGACAGTTTCTGTGCCAAAAGATTCACATGCAAAGATAAAACATAAACAAGAGACTAATTACAAGAAATGATGCAAACCTATTTACGACTACCGAGTCAAAGTGGAAAAACAGGTCTGTCGTACCAAGAAACGATGGATGGGAGTTACTGTACACTTGACAGCTCGATGGTGAGGAGCGTTGATAGAATGGACGTCGATGTGAGTTTGGATGTGTGCACGCCACAGGACATGTGAAATAACACTGTCGGTCTTATAGCAGGGACTCATCAAGTGAAAAAAAATCTAAAGTGTCTGTTTTCATGCATGTAAGAGTGTAAAGTTTGTGGGACTAAAAATAAATTATTTGTGAAAATTTCAGACGGGGACGTCATCACATTGTAATATAAAGTTACGAGTTAAGATTTTTAAAAAATATATACTAAAACGTCACCTTGAACACAACATAATTCTCCAGACTTTCCTGCACATTTTGATGTATAAGTAGGGGGTTCAAAAGCTGCAGCAGCAAATTTTTAATTTGTCACAAAAGCAAGAGAGTAACACTTTAGTAGTAATAAGGTGCTTTAATGCATATTTTTGACATTATTAGTTACTGAACAAAGAGCCCTAAAAGATTTTCTGTCCAAATAAACCGTACAAGTACCACACCAACACAAAGTGCCATGATGTGGGCCTGTCTTCTCAGAAAAACTAAAGGAGAAATGTGTCATGTATGATTTTAAAATGTTCCCTGCTCAGCAGTGCTTCTTGTAGAACATCACTTGTCCTGTTGACTGGTTAGCTGTTTCATTCAAACTGATTTTATGGCATGACCTCATGTCAGATTTCACATTATGTTATTACAAATGTTTAATTAATGCTACCTTTACTTTAGCCCAAAAAGTTTAAAAGGCTTTGAGGCATGCACATGTTTGACATTTTCTGCTCTGCTGCAGCATGACAGAGATACCAACCTGTCAGTCAAATAAAAATACCTCAACATCTACTGGAGAAGTTTACACGAAACTCTGCAGAGACATTCTAAATATTCAGACAAATAAGACTTAAGCTTAGAACAAAGCAGGCACATCTGAGATGAATAAACCATGGTTTGAAACTGTGACCCTCATGGTTTTGTGTCATCATAGAGTCAGAAGTTCTGACTAACATTCCACTTTTTCTATTTTTGTTGCTTCCAGCTCTGAGTATTGCTGCATCGATGTTTCATTGTCAACATAAGAAAAAACTATTATTAAAGATGAATAAAGTTACTCTGCACATCTGTGTTGTTTTATATTCACGCCTAACTTCTTGGTTTGCAGCCAGCATCTGGAAAGTCCCCCTCCCTCTCCAGGAAATAGATCTCTTTTAAAGGTGTGTGCCCTCCTTCCTGCTTCAGTGCAAGACTTACTCACTGAGCAGACAGGTCTGTACATCTCCACAATGAATCAACTCACGACTGAGCAGGAGAACCGTAAACGTATCCGGAAGGTGGAGAACGCCTTCAGACGATCAGGGATGCCCTTGTCCATTCCTGGTCGGGTTCTGATGGGGGAAGGCAGGCTGTTGAAGCAGGGTCGTAAGAAGCAGGCGCTGAAGGCTTTCTTCCTCTTCAACGACATCTTGGTGTACGGCAGCGTCATTATGAACGGCCACTGGTACAAAAAGCAGAAAATCATTGCTTTGGGTGAGCTACTTCTTCTTGAGTCCAGCTAAAGCTTGAAGAAATTATGTCTTAAATCTTCACAGAGATATAAACTATTGCGATGGTTTCTATGTATTCTGATATTACAGAGGACATCAAGATCGAGGACTTGGAGGACAGCGAGAACATGAAGAACCAGTGGTTGATGTGCACGCCTCGTAAGTCCTTCTACGTATCCGCCTCTTCGTACGAAGACAAGCGGGCCTGGATAGATCACATTCGGGACTGTCGGAGCAGAGTGCTGGAGGACACAGACATCCAGCCGGGCACCAACTTCGCCATGTCCTGGATTCCCGACAAGAATGCCCAGAAGTGCATGCGCTGCCTCAAGAAATTTAACGCAATCATCTGGAGACACCACTGCAGAAAGTGCGGGTTCGTGGTGTGCAACGAGTGCTCCAAGGAACGAGAACTCATCGAGTACATCGATTCCACCCAGGAGGTGAGAATCTGCAAAGTCTGCTACAACAAAGACGACAGCGACGACGACAGCTCCCGCCAGAGGGGAGACAGCTCAGGGATGCATAGCTCCGAGGAGGAGGAAGGAGCCATGTCCGGGGATGAAGAACAGGTCCAGACGTCAAGCAGCTGGCTGGACACCAAAGACGGCACCTGGGGGCGACTTAGCACAATCTATTTGTAAACAGGGACTTTCTTATACTCAATGAAGTCCAGGATTGAAGTCTGTATTGTGCATACAGCACATGACATAAGGTCGAACAACAATCAGTGGTAAAATGATCTGCTTTTTACCTTTTGATAATCCACACAGGCCACACTTTAGCTGCCTTAGAATCAATGTTTTATTTGATCTAACGTTTAGATTATCACCATTTGGTTTGTAACAGTGTGAAATGTTGGGAGGTTCCTTTAAAGGTATATGAACTTTTCTGTGGTCCCTACAACAGACACTGCGAACGTTGGCTCAAATGTAACAGTTGTGTTTTGTCTTTCCGAAATCTAGCAGATTGCTACGTGTATCAACATCAAATTGTTTGTTTATGCGTTGGAACAAAACCAAAAAAATCAGCTTTATAAATTGGCCATCAGGCATCGTATTGGTCATGGAGAAACACCAATCTGTCGCCCTCTATATCTCATAGTACTTCTTTATTGTTTCATTTAGGTTGTGTATGAGAAAAAAAACAACGTATTTGCCTTCTATCTGTAAAAATGCCACCTATAATCAAATTTGAACCTTTTTAACGAGATGAACGCAGGCTGGTCACCCATTAGGGTGCGGTTTGACGCCGGTCAACAATGATCTGTTTTTAGTTTGTATGAAGGTGTTGATTGATGTGAAAGATTGGAATAAAAAAAAAATCTGTTTCAGAAAATGGATCCTTCCACCTAAAACAAGTTTTAACACGCAAAATCCATGTAAGAATGTGAAGATGTATATATTTACTTTGCATAATTTTAATGTTTGCACTGAACTCACCTTTTGTAAAATTTTTTAAAATCAACTTTAAGCACTTTATTGCACGCTGCTGTGTTTCCAAAGTTCTGCATTTGTAAATGTTAATTGTTGTATATTTAAATATTGTTTTCTGTATGAAATTTAGTGAAAATAAACAAAATGTAGTCTACTACAGCATGTTTTTGTCTTGTGTAAGCTGGCAAAGAAGTGACCTATTATTTTTTGATGATTATATCTTTTGGCTTCGCTACAACCAGAATACATTAATGATCTCCTCAGCTTGATGTCGTGACTCACACAAACCGGTTCATGACAGAACCATGCTGCGTTGGACCGTCGTCATGGCACATTTGTCATTACAAGAGAGCCATGTTAAGGTTTCTGACACATTCACATAAACATTGGAAAACTTTTATAGTTTTTCTCATTTGTTTACACACATTTTCTGAAAGCACGCCTCATACTCGCAGAACTCTACACACAAGTGAAAAAAACCACACACACACACACACACACACACACACAATGGGCAAACGCCTCAATTCTCCTTCAAAATGAAACTTTACATTCAAAACAATGTTATCTCTTCTCAAAATGGTATTTTGTTCACGGATGACGCATAAAAACCATCATATGAATAGACATTTATAAGAACCAGTTAAACACTGATGTACTCTGTGTAAAACACTTCTATACAATCGTCATAATGACAGGCCCTTCTTTTGTTCAGTGTTACACTTAGTACAGATAGTACATACATCAGTGTGTTGTAAAATATCTTAGAATAGTATTTTTACACTCAGAACACACAAATAAACGGTAACACACACACACACACACACATCCATCCATCCATTATCTTTAACCGCTTTACCCGATTGCTAATTGTAAGAGTGTGTGAACTGTGTTTGTCCATGTTATGAGTCAGTGTGCCTAGTAGGGTCATACATTTTAGAATTTTGAATAACAGTTTGTTCCTTGTGAAAACAAAATGTTTTTTTCATGAAAATTGTGCCAAATGCAGCAAAATTGTGTGTAATGTTTTGAAAAAAGTGTGTTTTAGAATGGAAATTTGAAAGTAAAGCAGGAATTGTGCTTGTAGTTTATCAGAATTAGTTCAGGGAGTTGGTGCATGAGTTGCATGTTGTGGTCATCGTGTCTCAAGTACTAGAATTTGTGTGTAAACTATTCAGAAAAACTGTAATACAAAAGGAATCAAATAAACTGCAAGGTGTTGTGCTTGAAAAACAACACACTGGTTGACCCACATCCTAACTGGGCCTTCCTGAAAGCAGAGAAGAAACCCAAACAGGACTCCAGTCAGCCATCAGGTGAAAAGGAGGAACCCAGACCCAGACCAGTGGTCATTCCATATGTTGAGGGAGTATCAGAGAAACTGAGACGTTTACTTTCTAAACATAACGTCCCAGTGGCTTTTAAACCCCAAAATACATTAAAGACTGGTTCATCCCAAAGATCCAGTCCCCCGGCACAAACAGAGTAATGTTGTGTATGCTGTTCAGTGTCAGGAGGGCTGTGATCAGTCTTACATCGGGGAAACTAAACAGCCACTGGCCAAAAGGATGGCCCAGCACAGAAGATCAACATCATCAGACCAGGACTCTGCGGTCTACACTCATCTCCAGGCCAGTGGTCACTCTTTCAAGGATGAAGATGTTCACATCCTGGACAGAGAGGAACGATGGTTTGAGAGAGGAGTAAAGGAGGCCATCTTTGTGAAAAGAAATCGTCCATCGTTAAACAGGGGCGGAGGCCTCCGGGTTCAACTGTCCCCCTCTTACAATGCGGTGATTGCTAGTATCACTCAGCCCTCTGTGAATAGTAAACAGCTGTCAGGCTGCATTGTTAGGCTGATGGTCCTCATTTATCATGTGAACAGCTAGTTCTGGCTGTCAGCAGCAAACTGGTTGATCCACTATGAGAAGGTGCTGTTTAAGGTAAATAATAAATGGACTGTACTTATATAACACCTTTTTATCTTGTCAAGATAAAGCTCTTTACAACACAATCTGTGCCCTCATTTATCCATCCATACAGCACTCTACTAGATCTCCTGATGCATGCTCTACTAGATCCATACACTGATGGGACACACATCAGAGGCAATGAGGGTTCAGTGTCTTGCACAGGGACACTTCAGCATGTGACTGCTGGTGGACTCTCTCGCATCAACTCTCACATTGGAGGATGACTGCTCTAACCACTCAACCACAGCTTCCTATTTGTAAGACTGAGTTTATTGCAGTTCCTCAGACTGACAAAGTCTTTTGGGTTAAAGACAAAATGTTTCAACAAGTTTTTTTTTTTTAAATCAATCCAGAGGACCTGACTTAACTTTGTTAGATTGTCAGAATAAAGTTTCCAGAAAGAATGTTGGCTAAGAGACACCCCCCCACCCCCCACCCCCACCATCGCAAACTCTTTATCATGCTTGGTCAGCGTGTGGAACCCAAAGTGCAAACCAAAACACAACGTGGCTCGGACGTAAAATATCAAAACTAATTTATTTACAAAAAGACAACAAAAGGCTGATGTGGCAGCAAAAAATCTCACAAACAAACATCACTGGAAGACTTGAAAGAACAAACATGGACAGCTCGTGAAGCCCAACGTACAACTGACAGAAACTGTAAAGGGACAGCAACAAGGGAGAAACAACAAACACCTGGCTTGATTACAGACTGGGGACAGGTGAGAGTGAGATAGGTAGAAGTATGGAGAAAACACTGGGGAAGCTAAAACACAAGTAAATCAAATAAGTCACAGAAAAACAATAACGCTCAAGACACAGACTATATGACACTCCCAAGTTTAAAATATTTTGAGATGTTTGTTTAAAACTTTTATTTTGCAAATGTTTCTACTATTGAGGCCTCTAAAGACACATTTACTGTACGACTGTGAAAACATCGGTTTAACTCTCCTGGACTGAAAGCAGCATGGTGACACATCAGTCCGTGCTTCTACGATGAAGATCAGAAAGTGTACAAAGGGTTAATGTTGCACTCTCAGCTGTGTGTGAGCATTTTTTCAGAACTGATTCGTTCTGAAAAAATGCTAAATCTGCTAAATCTTGCATTTGTGCTACTTCTGCATTTGTGTTTTTTTTTTTTAATTATTTTCTTTAACAACTTTCCTCACTGGCTCTGTAACGAGGCGCACGCGTTTCTTCCCTCTCCCTGTTCTCCTCCTGCTTTTTTACTCTCCGTCTGTGCATCGGAGCAGCTCCTATTTTTACACATCTTCCGAAATGAAAACTACTGTTCTGGATCTGACCAACTGGACTTTCAACGCAAATGACAAAATATTTTCAACAAAGCGACAGGGTCCTGGAGAACCCTCATCTGCTCCAATGTCACGCATGCAGCTGGATATATCTCTGGGGAGAATGTGATGTTTCTACCTCTGCTGTCGATTGAGGACGCTAAAATTGCACATAATTGGATTTATGATTTATGGATTATTGAGCATGGACTTTGTTATTTATGATAACAGGCTTCCTGTGTTTGGAATCGTCTGGATCCTGGTTTATCAACATACAAAGAAGATGGCTGCAGCTAATTTGGCCCTCATCAGGCTGCTGCCTATGTGAAGGTTTGGTTCCTGCTTTGAGGACTCAAAATAAGCTGATTTACGAGCTAAACCGTAAGATGGAAGGGATTTGAATCGCAGGCCACCTGCAGCTTTGGACTCATCAGCATGAAACGACCTTGAAGAGGCTCGTAAGCACGAACCAGTAGAATGCACCCTAATCTCGTCATTTCAGACTTTGGAAGTACCAGTACAGACTCAAAGCTGACAAGGAAAAATATTATGCTTGAATAAATTAACAATTGTGGATTATCTGAATCTGATTCCCCGGTTGGCTTCGAAACAAGCCGACATCAATTTCTCCTGGGAAATGTGTAAACTAAGGAAAAGCTTTGTCTGTCGCAACCCCCACCCTCCTTTCCCCATTCTGTGGAGTCTTATCAGAACTGTGCCGGCTGACCATCATCACATCTTATGAAGACAATGGACTGTCTGTTAGTGCTTCATGGACCGCCTCGTCATCAAATGCATATGTAACATGTTCATAATGTGCTGCTGGCAGAGTTTTTTGAATGTCTTAAATCGTGTCCCGTTAGGACAAGATGTGAAGAGATCTTTTGTTGTAATGCCACTATCCTCTCCTCATGGCTTTGTCCCTTTTTCTATCTAAA